AACACTGTCACATGATTAATTTCTGGTTTTCCTTCAACATCCTTTGATCCAGTAAATTCATGTTAATATCCACTGATACTGATGAAAACAAAGTACCAGGTAGAGAGAAAAAGAGAGAAAGACCTTCTCTGAAGAGAAACATTCCAATTCAAAACATTTCACCCCTGCTTCTACTGCTCGGGTGCGAATAATGGGTGGCAGGCTAGGAGTCTCATATGCACAAACTAGAGTTTCATCCAGGTCAAGCACCACCTGTATTTACAGAGTAAACTGCATTTACAAAACTTATTGCTCGGGCAAGATAAGCAATACATACCTACAAATCAAGGAACACCCTTCTGGCCAAAAACACAACTTGATATGAAAAAAAATAATAAACTTTCATAATGCGAGTGGAAGATTTCTAGACACAAACAATCCACTTTACCAAAATTCTAGAATATTGTTTTTTTCTAATCACCTCCACTGCAACTATATATATAATACTAAAAATAAAATTAAAAACATCTCTAATTTCATTATATTTTTTTGTAACAGCTACAAAAGTCAATTAAACTTTATGAGCAAAACAATGTATATAATATATACTTAGATTATTGTTTAGAATAAATGCTTTTAAGTCATTGAATTTACCTCATATGTTACTAGCCCCATCATATCTCTAACAATACAATCTTGATATGCTTAGCTCATATGTAGAAAATAAAACTTCAATAGTTGTCTTGAGTGAACTAACAATTGTATCTAACACATGTTGAATGCCAAAAAAATATTTAATTATATATTCATTGTTGTCTATATATCATAAAACAACTATTATTTGTTCTTTAATTAATAAATCATGTGACTCATCAATTAAAATTAAAAATAATAAGCTACCTAGATCTTTGATAATCACATTTACAATCTCCTCTACAACATCTTGAGAAGTTAATTTATTATATCTAAAAGCTTCATTGAAGGTAACTCTTTTAGTAACTTCATTATTTCTAGAAAGGAAATGCAAAAGTTCTAGATAATTTTCTTGGTTGCTTGAATATTTACATTTATTATGGCTACAAAATAGAAGTTCTTGGTGCAACAAAAAATGAACACACTCTATAGAAGCATTCAATCGAGTTCAATAATCACTTTGACTATTTATTGTCTGCACAGATGACAAAGTCATGATACTTTATTTTTTATTCATCAAATTTTTATATTTTATCCGAGCTGCATTGTGACTATTATTAGACTTTTTAATATGAAGATCAAATCTTTCCTTTTTTTTTTTAATTTGAAAACCTATCACCCACAAAAAAATCGATACCCCTTTTTAACTTGAAGAGGTAACAATACAAGCAAAAAACAGTATCTTTGGCTATACTGTACTTTGACTATGTTGGGTATGTATTAAACTAAGTTGGATTAAAGTGTCATAATGTTGATATATTCCCAAATTGTTTTTAAGGACAATCACACTGTGAAGATTGACAATTTTTTTTTTGTAGATAAGCTTTTTGGATTGCATCACTATTATTTATATGACATTCATAAATTGGTCTTTTTAAGCCAGGGTCAACAAGAATAGTGTCATGATTGATTTTAATATGACTTTTCTTTAAACTTGATTGAGTTACATAACTTAAAGCTTTGATTGATTATTCATCTTTAAGGGATTTATGTTTAAAATACTTGTTTAGTGATATGCTAATTTAATATGAACCTGCTGAATTTTTTACATCATTAATGTCTACACAATAATTCATTATTAAACAAAAGTAAGTTGAGTTACACAATAATTTTAAATCTTTCATATGAAATTAATAGCAAAATACACATTAATTATCAATTCATCAAGATAAAAATCTATTTCAATTCATATTTATATGCATATAATAAGTATGTTGATTAAATTATACTTAATCATTTCTAGACATTTAATTAAAGAACAATGCCTAATATATGTATAAGAGGAACAATATTTGAAAAACATGCTTTCTACTTGATATTTTACTTACAAATAAATCATGTAAAAATATTAAATTTCAATAAATTACTCTGTCAATACAAGAGATGTCAAGAATAATGATTTTGCATGAATATTAATTTATTCTTTTATAATAAGAAAAGAAACACTTAGTTGATTAAATTAGCAGATTTAAACATTTATTTTGAATATATTTGAATATATTCATATCATAAACGCTAATATTTTTAATAATTAATTATAAAAAAATAAAACTAAAATTAGACAATGAAATAAATAAAAAAAATAAAAAAAATTACCTAAAGCATAAAGCAAAAGATAAAAAAAAAATTACTTAACTATAGTTGATGAAAAATTTTCATATGAAAGAAATAGGAAACGGCAGCTCATAAAAGAACAAAAAAACCTCTTTGTTAATCAGGGGAAGATAAAGAAATGAAATGAAAAATGGAAAAAAAATTAGGGCAATGAGCTGTACTTATATATTATATTATATTATATTAACATATGAGTCAACAATAATAAACAATATAAGCTTTCCGTGGGGATTTAAGTTTCTCAAAATGTAAAATGGTCTTTGAAGTTTAATAATTCATTTTACAGAACTTTTGATATTTTTATACATAATGGCCCCTTTTGGATAAAAAAGAAAAGACAAAAAAATTAATCCACAATTACAACTATTGTATATATTTTATGTGTAAATAATTTCGGTATGAGAAAATGAGATCAAGAGTACATCCTTATTAGTCATAAATTCAAAATTTATCAATGGAGAAAGAAATAAATAAATAAGTCCAGAACATAATATGTATTTTTGAGGTAAAAAAATGGACTTATAAGTGTCAGAACATAATATGTATTTAACTGTTTGCCTGCAAGCTTATATTTTGAGGTAAAAAAATGGACTTATAAGTGAATGTGCAAATGAGATCAACATAATATGCATTTTTTTATTGGCAAATGAGTTGCGTGAAAATGATTATTTCTCTGTATAATCTATAATGTGTTTTTTTTTTAATTAACATTAAATATTTTCTTGATTCTGAACGCCTTTTACCAACACAAGAACATGGATTTCATTTTTTGATAAAAAATAAAATCTTTCTTTATTAAAATTTCTTTATTGTTTGAGTGATTTTGAAACCGTCTACCGTGTTCGAGAATAAATTCTTGGACATATGTGGGGGTGATTTTTGTTGCATAGAGAATTGTATGCCTCAACTTTGCCGGTGGAGAATTTTCATCGTGGATTATTCTTCGAAGTTATCTTGACGACCATGCAAGCTTCGTCCTTGTCGTAGCATTTATTTTAATCATCACTGGCTGCGGAAGAGTCGTCAGAATTTCTCTGCATTTAAAATGTGTCATCGGCATAACGTTGATCCTTCGGAGACTGATTCAAACGAAGGCAAATGAGGAGACTGATTCCATATTAGAACGAGGAATAGTCGTCAGATTGATTTGAATCTGTGCTCCATGCATGCCATGGAGTGGTCGATTCTTGATGAAGAATGAGACTCCTTGTTTAAATCCAGATTAATTTTTTAGGAAGGAAATTGACTTGCGAGAGCTGAACCTGCAGGGAAATTGCCAGGGTTGAGTTTTGGCGGAAGAGAAGAGAACGTCGAACCTTTTTTTCCCTGTATTTTAGTTTCATAGATGGAAGACGAGAGAGCCATGCCGATTATTCCTCCTCTTTTCTTCCCCATGCAAATTTTGGCAAATCACAAAATTTGAATGTGAAAAAAATATTTAGACTGCAAGAACCTATTTATATAGTATTGTTATTAAATTTAATTAATTTAGGATGTAAACAGCTACGTTTAACAGCTTTTTTCTATAAAAAATTATAGTTAAAGATATGATAACAAAAATAAAAACTTATAAAATTAAGTATTAATCAAATTATTCTAGGATATTTATTTGATATTGCATTAACCTCATAGAAAATAAACAAAAATAAATTATAAAGATTAATTCAAAATCAACTGAATATTAAAAGATAAATTTAAATAAAAAAACTCAAAAAAAATTCAATCATAAAAAAATAAAGAAAAAAAGGAAGTCCAACCCAGAGTGTCAACTTTGAAATTTTTTTATCAATCTTCCATTCTAGCATGAATTTAGAATTTGACTTGCCTAGGAGCTGCTTTAATATGACTTGATTAATTTGAGAAGGCCAAAAAAAATCTAGGTGACTAGAAAAGTATGATTTGATTTTTTTTTTAAATTTTAAAATAATTTTTTTTAATATTAAAATTTAAATTTCAAAATGATTTTTTTTAATATTAAAATTATAATATATTATATTGACTTGAGCTACACTGCTACACCCACAAAACCCGCGGTCCAGCTTATAGACTCTACTCTGTTTACTAACTTTATTTTTTTAACTATTTTTATTTAATGATAAAATAACAAAAATAAATGTTTACAAAATCGAGAACCAATCAATTATCAAGATATTTATTTGAAAATATAATAATTTTATAAAAAGTAATATTAAAAAAAAAATTAAAAGAAAAAAAAGCTAAAAATAATTTAATCAAAAAATAAAAAATAAAAAAATAGAGCTGCTCCTTCACCATTCACATGAACAATGAAGGAGCTGGTTTGCCCGGTTGTTTTAGTAGAGAAGTTAATTAAAATCAAGATAAAATTAAAAAAAATATAAAAATATTCAATTGAAAGGAAAAAAAATAAAAGATAGAATTAAAAAAAAAAACGAAAGAAAGAAGAGGGAAAAAAAATGCGGTAGCTCCTTCACTGTGCATGAAAATAGTCAAGGAGCTGGGTTTATCCCATTTGTTTCAGTAGAGTAGGTACAATAGTTAAGAAATAGCGTCTTCATCAATGTACCTCTACTTTATGCTTTCATGTCGCTATGAAAATAATGTTTTTTATTACAAGGTCTTCGTCAAATTTCCCTTAAATCGATCATATTATTTTAAAATAAAGTCGTTCTACTTGTCACTTTTATTTACCAACTTGTTCCCTTAATTTTTCACTATAAATACCTTCTTGCTTCAAACCATATTCATCACCATCGATTTGCCTCCCTTTCTTGATTACCTCAACCTCCTGACATAGCTAAGATACCATGGCTCGCTTCCAAGTGATCGCCGTGGCAATTTTTATAACAATCATGCTCCTCCTGTCCACTGGGATGTCCACCGCAATACCGAAACCTATACAAGGTTTGTGGCTGCGATGCACTGATTTGGACGTTGTTTTTCTGCCAATAAAATTATTGAACGAGTTTTTTAAATAGAGATTCTTCTTTCTCCAGCATTTTATGTTGTTTTGATCAATATTATGGCAATTTGGTGCAGGAAGGAAGCTTTTCCAGTATGATTTTAACAATGGTACGTATGGGCCGATGAACATCCCCGGTACACAAAGTGGATATCCTTAATTAATTAGCAGATATAGCTGGTTAAGAAATAAGGTCTTCATCAATGGAGGTCTACTTTATGCTTTTATATTACTATGGAAATATTGTTTTTATTACAAGTAGAGAAACGAATGCAGTGGCGGACAGTTTAGCAAGGCAGGCTGTTCATAAAAACAGGGACTCCGTGCTTGTCTTTGATAGCCATTTATTTTAGGAAAGCTCTGTTTTTGGATCTTTTCCCCTTTATAGTTTTCTGTAACCATCACCTTGTTGGTCTTGCTATAACTTTCATTCTTTAGTAAATTTGATGGATGATGATTCCTTTTTCTGCAGAAAGAAACTTTGACATAAAGCACTCACGTATACGTAAGGGCAGGGCCGGAAATTGTTTTCCTCGTGGCCTGCTAAGCAAATACACATAATTCTCCTTTTAATATATATATGTATATATAGAAAATTCAAAGTACATAAAACTTAAAAACAAAACTACACAATCAAAATTGCACTGTAATTTGTGGAATAAAATAATCCATAATCAAATTTAAATTGAAAAATCTTCACCAAGTTTTCATGTAATGTAAATAATTATAAAATCTACTCGGAACTCTTTATTTTATTTTATTATAAAGTATAATTTTAATATGTTTTATAACTGAAAATACTCGTTCTATTATAGTAGTAGAAACATGTAAAGTAAATTTAAGATGAATCAACCTGTAAATCAAATGATAATGCTGTAACTTATTTATTTCAACTAATCCTTATATAATTTGAAAAGAGTAAATATATTTTAAAAACTTTCATGATGAATCACATCAATATAATAATATTATAGCTGAGTTCTCAAACAATATATCTTTTATTAATTGAAATCTCAAGGATAAAATTTCTCAAGCTTCCAAATAACATCAACATTAAATAATTTAAATTATTCTTAGATTCTAAAACATAGCTAAGTATAAGGAGTTTTATGGTCCTATTAATGAATTTGTAATTTAACTCTTCAAACTAAAAATCTATTGTTGAGTTAAATATATCATAATAATAGTATTGGTAAACTGTTATAAATTCTTGTTGCTAACATATACAGCATGTAGAATTTTTTTATAAAACATTCATACATAGTATGTCAATCTTATATTGTGTGCAAATATATTGCACATGTTCAAGGAAAAGATTAAATCTGATATCTCTCAAAGTTCAAAGCAATGTTGTAATAGTTGATACAAAATCCATTGCATTTAAGATGTCAACAAATTTTTATTGGAAAACTCAACAAAGTAAATCAGTAATCCCTATTATTTTATAAATCAAATATAAGATGAACATAAATTCAAAAGATTTCATCACAATCACACAACTACTAGCTTTTTCATGTATAAAGTCAGAAGATCTTTCTTAAGCTATACTTTTAAGCAAGATAGTAGTTGCACCATACATATTTATTAAGCTACAAATAGAATTAAAATGACAGCTCTAACGAGTAGTTTCACTTAGATGTAAATTATCAATTTGATTAACTCTTCTCTTAATCTTGTGTTGTCCATTAGTTACCATATATCCAATTTTTATAACCTAAATAAAATGTAACTCGATATGATATTTGAGAGAAGTATTAATAAGATTGATAATGGTTGATACTTTTTTTTTTAAATAACCAAATAAAAATATTATTTTTAGTTGTTGCAACTAATGTCAATTATAGTCGGTGGGCAAAGCAATACACATAATATACAAAAGGGTAATATCTAAGAAATAGAACTTGTATTCTATTTCATACACCATATATATTACTAGCACCATCATGCTATTGATCTCATATAATGAAGATATACAAGTTATATCGTATATTATATATATATAAAAAAAATTAGTATTTAAAAAATAGTATATGAAATATGCACAACCTTAAAAAAGTATTTTTGTAAATTTTGTAAGAAATCCTGAATCATTGCTTCCATGTCTAGTCTTTTGTTTAAAAACCTTCTTTTTATTTTTTTTGGAGGGGGTGTTCTTTGTATCCAATTAATCCTCGTTAATTCCCTTATGAATCATCATTAGACAAAGTAGCAAATTAACCTTTTGCTTTCACTTCGCTATTTCATTGCACGCTTTTATGACCATGTTTTCAATGGTTAAATTACATGACCATGGAATATAATATAATTACAATAGAAGCATTCCTTTACAAACCTGTCCCTCTCTTTTATGCTAACATGATAAATTATAAAGTATTGGTACTGTAATTTACTATCTTTGTGTCATTTTCACTTCAAATTAACATTTATTGCGCTTCAAAAACATGCTCATTTAAAACTATATTCATATCAGCAGACCGAATTAATTTTTATTATATCTGAGAAATTCCTTTCTTATGGGTTTTTGTAAAAATCCATGCAGAATAGAGAGCAGAAGATTGATACAGGCAGGCTAATCTTAAACAACACAAAATAATTATTGTGGTACTTGCCCAAGGTCTACAGGCACTTTTGTAGGAGCCAAGGCTGAAGTCTCAACAAAATGCAAGTTAGGATCCCCACAGTCACAAAACAATCTAAAATATCATCACCTAGGCTAGGCCTTAGCGTAAACAGAATTACAAAAGGGGGAAAGCATTCAGATTGAAATGATGATACTTTTTTACTCGGGAAATTTTCTGGCAAGGTGCAAGAATGGCTTCTTAAAATTATAATTGCTCTTGGCTGAAGTCTCTTGCTGTTGCAGGGCTACAGGTTCTTCTTTCCGGGAAAGTAACCTGTTTTTTCTTTTACTTTAAACGAGTTTCTTTTTTCTTTTTTGTTTTTTTGTTTTTTGGTGAAGGGCAGAAGGAAAAGTTTTTATATGATGGGTTATTGGACTTGTTTAGGGCTGCAAGGATAAAAAATAAAGAGAAAAATTATATAGAAAAGTTAGAGAACTGTATAGATTAGTGTTATATCAGAGTCCTATATACATTACAAGAGTCCCATGTATATTACAATACTTTGATTAAAAAATGCTACATTTAAAGATGCAATGAAGGATAAGATATGCACTTGATTCCTAAAATATCTCTTGCAAATATAATCATAATTTGATATTATTTTTAATATCAGTATTATCATAAATATATTTGATAATATCTTCAACACACCCCTGCAGTATGAATGAGAGAGCACAAACATTGAGATTGGAATGCAAAAGGTAGAATCATGTAGTAGAGAGTGGTTTTGTTAGGAGATCGGCTTGCTAATCATGCCTAGATAGAAAATTGATAGTCAATTTTTTTAGTGCAACAAGATCTCTGATAAAGTGACAATCAATCTTGATATATTTTGTTGAAGCATGAAACACCAGATTAAAGGATAGATACATTGCTTCAATATTATCACACTGAAAAGTGGGTCCTTAAGATAGTCGTAGACTAAGTTCTGAAGTTAAAGATTGTAACTATTATATTTCAGCACCGGTGTCTATGAGAGCCTTGTATTGTGCCTTTGTACTACTATGAGCAATCGTAACTTGCTATTTGCTATGCCAAGATATTAAATTAGATCCAAGAAATACACAATAAACACTAATAGATCTACAATCATCTATATCCCCTACCCAATCTGCATCGGAGAATGCTTGAAATGTGAAGGAACTTCTGCGAGACAAGAATAAACAGTAGGAGATTAAGTGTTTGAGATATCATATAATTCTTTTTACACATTTCTAGTATGAATGTTTTGATTGATGCATGAACTTGCTAACATGATGGACTATGAAGGTAATATCAGGTCGAGTGAAAGAGAGATAATGAAGATCCCTAACAATGCTTCTGTATAGAGTGGGATCATCAAATTGTGTAGCATCAGTGGTTGTCAACGCTATAGCAGTGGACATTGGTGTGGAACAAGGCTTAACACCATTCATTTTGATTTTATGAGAAAATCAACAATATATCTATATTGAGTGAGATAGATTTATGTATCATCAAAGATAGCTTCAACCCTTAAGAAAAAGGTGAAAGAGCTAAGGTATGCGATAACAAACTCTTATTGTAGCTACGGAATGATAACTGTAATATTTACATCATTAGAGCCAGTGGTGATAATGTCATCAATATATATAAGGATGTATATGGTGCTAGAGTTTCCAGTGTAAAAAAAGAGTGATAAATCTGCTTTACTGCCAACAAACTCAAATTGTATCAACATAGTAGTGAAGCAGGAAAATCATTGACAAGGTGTCTGTTTGAGTCCATATGAAGAGTGTTTTAGCTTACACAGATGGTTAGGAAACTAAGGATGTTTGAAACTTAGAGGTTTGTCCATATAAACCACTTTTGTCAAGTTTTTATGGAGAAATGCATTTTGGACATCGAGCTGATGAATTGACCAATTGTTTCAAATTGCAATAGATAAAACAAGTTATATAGTTGCAGGTTTTACAATTGGACTGTAACTTTTATAAAAATCCACCCTAGCTGCTGATTGTAACCTTTAGCAACTAGTTGGGCTTTATATCTTTCAATTATGTCATTAGCTTGTTGTTTGATCTTGAAAATCTAGTGACAGCCAATGACATTAACATGGCATGATGGAGGAACTAGTGCCCAAGTATGATTTTATAGCAAGGCATTAAACTCAACATTCATTATAGATCGTCATTGATAAGATTTGGAGGCTTCAATAAGAAATAGGTTTTATAAAGAGTGGAAAGGTAGATATGACACGACCAAAAGATTGATGTCTTCTCCCAAGTGCAGGAGTGTCCAAGTAATAAATAACCCAGCAAGTCCAGAGTCAGACCATAGGGAGATTAATTGTATAAATTATAGATAACAATAATACAACAACAATAATAACAACAACAATAGTTATAATAATGACAACAATAATAATAGTAGTAGTAGTAGTAACAGCAGCAGTAATAGTATTAATAATAGTAATAGTAGTAGTAGTAGTAGTAATAATAATAATAAAAATAATAAAGAAGTT